GTGGGGGGAGAAAAGAGAATGGAGAGGAAGTTAAAGGAGGAGAAAATGGCACGAGAGAGAGAGAGAGAGAGAGAGAGAGAGAGAGAGAGAGAGAGGCAGACAGACAGACAGACGGACAGAGAGGGGGATATTTATTTTAAAATCTTTCTGGCATGTTCCCTGCCTCACCCCACCCAATAGGGAGGAGAGATACAAGAAATTTTTTATTGCTTTGAAGGACATAAACCAGCTCAACTGGGTGCCACCCTGTGTGAAAATCTCAGGGATGCCAATAAGCCACTTGAGACACTAAGGCTCCTGCTTTTCTGTTCTCATTTCTTATCAGTCCTTGGCTTGCAGAGGAGGAATGCTCAGGAAGAAGAAAGAACTCCATGGCGTCAAGAGGAGGGCAGATTTGTGAACTCTAGCCCCTGAGATAAATTGGTAAGAGTCGTTGCTTAGGCTAGTAGTTTCCCCACCTTTCCTTTTTAATAGCAACACACTTCACAGTCAGACACTTGTATCCTCACAGTGAAACTTAATCCCCTAAACGCATGCATCTTGTTAGATCGACGGCGCAGCTCCACCTGTGTGGTCTGTGACCCACCAGCACGCCACTGTCCTTGAAGTCATTCCTGTGCACCCCAGTCCTTCGGTCTGCTTTCATCACAGCAGCTGATTAATACAGGACTGCTTAAATGGGTCAGGGAGATCCATGAAAATTATTTGTTTAAGCGATTCTTATTTACTGGCACATACTGTGTCTATGGCTGTCTGCCAGAGGCAATCAGAAACGTTGAGAAAGTGCCAGGGTTGGAATCTAGCCACTGGGATGGTGAGAAGTCTTCTTATTCCACCACTCTGTGACATTGGGAAAGTTACCCAACATTCCTGTGCCACAGCTCACTCATTGAATATGGGTATAATAATTGTGTCTACCTTAGAAGATCATCGTGAGACCTTCAGGAATATTGCATTGCGTGCTTTACCTGGCAGACAGGAAGTGCCTATTATGATGACAGCGAAGACAATGGACACACAACTTTAACATTCAACTGTGATATTGCTTACTCAAGGTCAAGTATTCTAACTTAATGGGATTGTCCAAACACAGTAAAGGTTCCTGGATTTCAAGACTGTAGCTTTATTGCTCTCTCTTTTTTATGCGTCTTCCTTCGAAGAGGCGAGTAAGGGCCAGTTGAGGGGCTGAAAACTTTATGGCAATGTATCTGCTGGCTTTACTCTCTCATGTCCTGGTCTGTGATCCGTCAAATCAGGAGAGCACAGAAGCGTATTGGAGGAAAAAGGAGGGGGAAAAACACCCAAACAAACAAGCAAACAAAAAGAGTCACATTATCCACTTCCCTAATGTCTTCTATGAAACAGTGGCCACTTTTCAGTCAGTCTCTTCTGTTCTGAGGTATGGAAGAACTGCGGCTCAATAGCTGTCTTGGTCAATTCCCACATAGGCTTGCAAAATATGGTCACAGCAGCGTGCCTTTGAGATACAAAGCTTTTGGATTAAAGCTTTGAAGAGACTTGCCAGAGTGAGTCAGTCATGATTGAAGGACATCGTCCTCTATGGGCAACTTGTTCATAATAAAATAAATTCCCTACCACACAGGACCTTGGTAACACTACTCAGGCAGAGCTCTTCAGGCTTGAAGCTGAGTAGCTAAGTTGAAACAATGACTAACATTCCAGTTCTAGCAGATCTCAGATCTCGCCTAGGCATCATGGAACTTGAAACTGCGATTAGCTAGCCTTTCTCAAATCCTGCTTTGAGGTAGTTAGTAGCTTATGGTCTTGGGCACTAACTTTGAACATCTCCAGGGAATTCTTCTTTGAAATATAAGCAATAAAACCTTCCACGTAGGTTGTTATGAGGCCTCAATGAGGTTAATATTATAATAATCTCTGTTATAGATGTTCCAAAAACATGAATGCCCTTGTTTTATCCGTTTCCTGTTTCTTTTCTTGTTTTTCAGGGTTGCATGGAGTGCGTTCTCAGTGCTAAGCCATTTTATAGAAAACAGTCAGACTCTGGCATAGGCAGAAGCTACCCTTGTGTGCTTAGAGGACTTGAGACTAGAAAGACCAGAGTCAGCATTTATAGTTTGTATTATGCTGGTCATCTGCATCAGAAATTTGGGTCAGCAGAGAACCTGGGAAATAATAAGTATTTCTTAATGAATTGTTGCCTATGGATGCTTTGTAGCATGTTGAGGGCTCTAGGATTATGTGGTGGCACTTAAGCCTTTCCCTTCTCATTTTACAGACTAGAGAAATAAAGTACAGGAAGATGAAAGGTGATTTACCCAAGCATATAAATCCAGGGTTGGGCAGAGGCAGACTGGAATCTGTCCTACAATATACATCTCTTGCTTTAAAAATTAGCAATATTACTTTTAAAATATTAAATTCTCATTCTAGTAATGGTTTATATGTAGATAAGCAAGAAAACTTAACTCCACAATGATATGTTGTCATATACCCTTCTGGTGTTTTTTTTTTCTTCCATATTCTTGCATTCATTGTTTGTTATTATCATCCTCATCATAGCAGCAAAAGCATAGTGTCTATGTGGTTTCAGATGCTGACGTAGACATTGTACATGCATTACTACCAATCCTAATAGCAACCTTAGGTTGTGATAACTATTATCCTCAATCTATCAATGAAGAAATTGAAGCATGGAGATGTAGTGCTACTCTAAAGTGGTTGAGATTTAACAACTTTAATACACAGCCATATTAAAAAAATAAAGCTGATCAGGGTTATAGTACCAGGCATGATTTCTGTCTTGTTCAGGGGCCTTAGAGCTGTTGGTTACGGCCAAGATACAAGTATCACTATTGCTCATTTAGGGATATCTTGCTAGGCCAGTCATTGTTGTAGTTGGCAGAGGTCACAGCTGGGTAAGACATTAATTGCTTTTGTTCCCCCTTTGGCAGCTTGCATAACATCTTCTACTACTTGAAAGTTAGTTGTCAGGGAAGAAGCTTTCAGGTCAGTTCCAGTTTTATTCCTTCCAGTTCTGTGTCCAAAGTGTGTGGCATCCTCAGCAACAGACTTACCTTCTACTTTGGGAGGCAATCAAGGGCGACAGGAATAGCCTAGAATGTTTGGGGAGTAGCTTGTACTACCCTGACCAGCAACTGGAAAGGAGGTTTCTCATGTTTGGTACTGGAGTTTTTGTTAGGCAGTCTACAGCTTTTGTGGAGAGTATTATCAGCCAAAGTGATATAACGTTAATTTGTGTTCCTATATCTACATATGCACTTGTCTGTATTATATGTATTTTTAGGTAAATTTGCAACAATATGATTCCCTTGGGCTTTTCCAAGCATTCTTAGTGTTATTTACCACCCCTCTCTTTGTATTGTCCTCCCTCCACCTCCTCACTTAAGTCCCAGTGTCACAGGAAAAAATAGTGGTGGAATAAGAATTCTCACTATCCCAGTGGCTCGACTCCAGCCCTGGCACTTTCACAACTCAAAGAGTGTTGCACATTAAATATACTGATTGCACACAAGAAAATCATTCTGAAGTCAATCAATTTTGTATCCTGCTATTTTATTGAAAGTGTTTATCTGTTCTTAGAGGTTTCTGATGGAATCTTTAGGGTCATATGTATAGACTATGCCATCTTCAAATAGTGATAGTTTGACTTTTCCTTTTACTAATTATATCATTTTTATTTTCTTCTCTTTCCTTACTGCATGAGCTAAGAGTTCAGACACTGTATTGAGTAGGAGTGGAGAGAGTGGGCATACTTGCCTTGCTCTTAGCAGGAATTATTTGACTATATCTCCACTTAGTGTGACGTTGATTATAAGCTTGTTGTATACAGCCTTTGTTATGTTGAGATACGCCCCTCCATCCCTTGCCTTTCCATGATATTTGCTATAAAGGGATGTTGAATTTTGTCAGAGACTTTTATGCATCTATTGAGATGGTCATGTGATTTCTGACTTTGAGTCTATATATGTGATGGATAACATGAATGGATTTATGTATGCTGAACCATTCTTTAAGCCAACTTGGTTGATGAATGATATTTCTGATGTGATCTTGAACTCAGTTTGTTGGTATTTTACTGACAATTTTTTCATATGTGTTTATCAGGAAGATTGGTCTGCAATTTTCTATGTGCGTGCGTGCATGCGTGCGTGCGTGTCTTTATCTGAATTTGACAACTGAAGTGATATGGAGATAGGTATGGGAAACTCTCCATGAATTTTATAACAGCAGGACCAGGAAGTGAGTGGTATAAGTTTCCACCAAGAGACTCAAGATGTATCTTCTTTTTTTTGGGGGGGGGGAGGGGTGTTCAAGACAGGGTTTCTCTGGGTAGCTTTGTGCCTTTCCTGGAACTCGCTTTGTAGACCAGGCTGGCCTCGAGCTCTGCCTCCTGAGTGCTGGGATCAAAGGCATGCTCAACCACCGCCAGGCCAAGATGTGTCTTCTATAGCCAAGCTGATGAAAGAAAACTTTTCTCTGAAGGGTAAGTGCTGTGGGATGTCCTGTATGTCCTGTGGGAGCCCGTTCTCAGGTTCCTCATGGCTTTACCCAGCAGGTCTGCATGGAGGATGATTAGGACCAGGGGCCTGAGTGCAGGTGTCTGAGATGGTCTGCACTTGGCTGTGCTGTGGGATGGTCTGTATGTCAAGTTGCTCTGATTGGTCAATAAATGAAACACTGATTGGCCTGTGGCTAGGCAGGAAGTATAGGCAGGACTAACAGAGAGGAGAAATAAAAGAACAGGAAGGCAGAAGGAGTCACTGCCAGCCGCCACCCTGACAAGCAGCATGTGAAGATGCTGGTAAGCCACGAGCCGCGTGGCAGGATATAGATTTGTGGAAATGGATTAATTTAAGCAATAAGGACAGTTAGCAAGAAGCCTGCCACGGCCATACAGTTTGTAAGCAATATAAGTCTCTGTGTTTACTTGGTTGTGTCTGAGCGGCTTGGGGACTGGCGGATGACAAAGATTTGTCCTGACTGTGGGCAAGGCAGGAAATCTCTAGCTACAGGTAAGGGCACAGATGAAGGAGGCTTCCAGGGCAGAGGAGTAGCTTGTCAGGTGCTACAATTATGATGGCCCCAGGTCTAGGCATGATGACAGGGAGAAAATAAATTTATAAAGACAGAAAAACCACAGGCAGCACAGCTCTGAGGAAAAAAAACAGTCGAGAGTGGGGGAGAGCTATTATTAGTGTTTTAAATCCTGTTGTGTGGCCACCGGAGGGGACTGAGTTATGTCATCGTGTAGGACAGAATGGGAACAAATGGATTGCAAATAGAGAAAGATGTAAAACCAAATGGAGACCCTCCTCCAGTCAACTCTACAGTGACAGTGAGTTGACTACTGGTACAGTTATGTATTTTTCAGTCCCTGTTGATAGAAGTGTTAAGGAGGTGGGAAATTATTTAATTGAAGTGACATAAAGGGGAAAGAACACAAACTGTAGAGCAATAACTGTTAAATTAGTTCCTTTTCTAGGTTCAAAGCATGTATCGTGTTCATACACAAACACACCAGTTGATAATCACTTGCCTTGTGCAATCATTTTTCCCAGTTTTTAAAGGCATATATTGCTTAAATAATTTAAAATAACTTAAACAGTGCTTTTTTTTTAATTTGTAAAAACTTACTTTTATTTCCTGAGGTCATGACTAAGAATTACAGTTTGAATTCTCATGTATGACTTAAGAGCTCAACTTTGGGAAATTTTACTTCCCATGTTAAGGGATTCTGATGGAAATGGGGAAACAAAGTGTGGTGATAATAGGAGTAGAAAATGAGGATTTAGGTTAAGAGCCTTAAGTGAGCAAACAGCCTATAGCAAAGCCCCACTAGAGAGAGACAGAGGGGAGAGTTAATTCAGTTGGAACTGAATTGTCAGAAAAACAGCTCTGTCAGAAAAAGAGCAGCCAGGGGTGTGGTCATTGTGCAAACTCCAGATGGACACTGGAGATAGATTAGTCTATTCCTTCTTTCTCTTGATCTGATTTTAGCAAAAATGTCCTTAAAATATTATGTTCCTGCCCACATTTTAAAGTATTTTTTAGCATTTCATTTATTTCTCATCACTTAATGATTTTTATTTTTTCT